TACGAACGGTTCTTGCATGAGGCCCAATGAGTCAAATGTAAACAAAAACGGAGTTAAATAAACCTGAACAGGAACTCTTTTTAAAAACTTTGTTGTTTTTTTTTCTCAGATCAAAGCCACGGACCAGGGCAGCCCGCCGCACTCGTCCACGGCTCGGCTCGACGTCGAGTGGGTGCCCCGCCCGCCTCCCTCCGCCGAGCCAATCACGTTTGAGGAGCCTCACTTCACCTTTGCTGTGATGGAAACAGATCCTGTCAGTCACTTAGTGGGCATCATCATGACGGAGACGCACCGCCCGCTGCTGTGGTTCAGTATCGTAGGTGAGTAAAAAAAAACACGACTCTGCTGAAAGCCAGAGTGTTGATCGAGCTCTGAGAGAAAAACAACAACTTAAAGCTCTGATGAAGAAGAAAGAGCTCAGGAACGAGGCTAATGGTCTCTAAAAGAAGACAAACAACGTGCAGAAATACTATTAATATTTATTTCTGCAGTTTGACAATAAGAAAAAAGAAACGAGCGCTCAGTGATCACTGATGACTCCTCATAAATCTGTTAAACTCCTGCAGCTGCTCAGCCTGACATTCATCATGTTTCAGCTCCAGAGCTGACTCGTGGAGGAAAACACAAACCGGTTCCTGTCAGCTTCTGCAAACTGTTTCCTCTCAGAGCCTGACGACAGCTGCCTGTTTAACGGAGGAAAAACAAAAAGTGGGAGGTTTTCTGGTGCCACACGTTTATGAAGCTGGATTCTGTCAGGAAGAACTTCCAGTGGAGAACAAATCTGTAACGTGGTGACTCCTGAAGAAGGGCTGAAAGAAAAACATCCATACTTTCCCTCAGTGAGCCTCTTTCCTCTGTGGTTCACCAGAAATGGGTTATTTAGAGTTGCATGTTGGTGCAAAGAGTAGCCATCAAAAATTAAGTTTAAAATACTTGATTATATTCTGACACTGTGGAAGCCGAGAGCTGCCATTTCCTGCTTATAATTATTTTCCATGGTTTTCTCATGATAACAACATAATATGGTAGTACGTGCAGAAATGGAAAAAGTTGGAATTGCACAGATTAATTAGTTCTCATAAACATTTTTATTAAAGACCATGTTTAAAGAGTAACTTACCCCAAAATTAACTTTTTTTAGCTGATAAACTGTCTAGAATGTGTCTAAAATGTTATATAGTACTGTGTCTGTGCTAAATTTGATGTTTTTGTGCGTATTTGTTCAAATCTGTAATATTTGGTCTAAAAACGTGTTTTTGCTGCTCATATGGGTAGAGCAGTGGTACTGAAGGCTAATTTGCATATTGGTTAACGGCTCTCCACGGTGACGTGTCTTCTCCACGGTTTCGTCACAGCGGCTGTGTTCTGGTATAAAAGCCTCTCTCTAAGACACGCCCCTGCAGCAGTCAGAGGGTGGAACAGTTAGCAAGCTTAGCATGATCGTCTGTTGACCTTCAGCCTCGGGTGGGGAGAGCTGACTGCTGCGCTGCTCTCTCTCTACACACACACACACACACACACACACACACACACCAGCAGTACGTCCTGCACAGCGGGAGGGGAGGAGGGGAAAGAAAGGCAGCGGGGCAGCTTCGTCCCGAACCCACACATGTCAACTTGTACAGATTGTCTGTAAGTTATAAGGATTTTACGTCATTTTGCAGGTAAATCCTCCACCTCAGACGTTCAGAGATGTAACTATCTGCGATACTGTGGTCACTCTTCATGTAGCATCAATTATGCTAATGCTAACTCCCTGTCACGTTCTCTCGTCCTGGCCACACCTCCGCTCTCTAACCCCCACTTACCCACCCCCACCCCCTCCCATACCCACTTTGATACTTTGATGCATTTTTTCAAATTTCACCTTGGGGCGGAGTTATCTTTTCACAGGGGGGGTAAGATACACTTTAAATTTGTTTCACTACTAACTTAAATATTAATAATAATATTTTGCAGTGGTGGGCAGTACTAATCCAAAAATTAGCTCCGCAATTTCTAAAGCGCTTCTGTAAATATTTAGGTCCGCAACTTCAAAAGTGTTTATGCCGTAGAAAAACTAGCGGAATTTAATTTTCAAGAGCAAGTTCAATTTGACACTTACTGTCTGGCAATAATTCATGTATAGTATATGCACAACACTGCCAACTAGTGGTGTATGAAGTCTTTTAACAGCTTGATCCTACAACCACCGATTGCTGGGGATGTGAGTTCCTGAAACAGAACTTTAGATCCTGGTGTAAAAATTAAAAAGTTGTTGAGGATTGCTAGTTTGGCTGCTTCTTTATCTTTTTCTTTTGTTTGTTGTAGATTTTTCATTAAAGAAGCATCAATAAAGTAATTTTAAAACTGTTTATTGGAAAACTGAAGCGATGCATTCTGGGTACATGACGAATTTGATTTGTGACGGGAAACGAAAGTACGGAGTACAGGAAACTATCTCCACTTCAAAATAAGAGCTTGGATTTTAAAGTTTTCCATGTAGTTGCTCCAGTTGACCACTAGATGTCAGTCTTCATCAGCAAAACATCTTCAAATCATTTCTGAGTCTCTAACGAAGTTGCTTCGACCAATTACGTCAAGTATTGAGCTCCAGCGTTTAAACTTTTTTTTTTTAAAAAGGAGCTCTGATTGTAAAGTAAAATAAATCAATACATACAAAATTTTAGTATGGATTACAAACGTTTATTGTTTTAGCTGGGACAGGGAGGTCTAAACACTGCCTTCCTGCTACGTAAGCAGACACAAAGCATTGTGGGAAATCAGAACCGTGACCCAAAGCAACAGTCAACAAGGATGTATATTTTCACAATAAGTGTGTTTATCTGGGAGGGGTGCTGTTGGATAGATCACATGTTGTGATTCATTGACAGTCATACCTTCTGCTGTTCAAGGTAATGATGACTGGTAGATAATTAGTTATTAGCGGTACTGCATTTTCATTTTAGAAAGCGTAAATCTGCTTATGAATTATAAAAATTAGTAAGTCCGCTAAAGCGCAAATGAAATATTTAGGTCCGCAATTACTGGATTTGATTTAGCGGGCTGGTGCCCACCACTGATATTTTATTATGATGTTTTCTTGGTTTGAGATAATATTTAAATAGTGATTTTGTATCACTACATGACAAAGGTAATAGATGCTAACTTCCTGTTTCAGCGAGTGTATATTTTATTATTGTGGAAAATTCCTGAGTTTCAGGTAAAATTTTTAAATCACTTCCTGAGTTACTGTTATTTTGTTGTTTCATTGAGCTCTTACATAACTGCAGAGCTGTGTGTGCAGATGAGTGTGCAGAAACAGAAAAAGTTGAAGCTTTGACAGCTTCGTTTATCCTGTCAGAGCTGAAGAGTTTGTTTTATTCATGGATCCTTGTGATGCAGTGAAATATTTGCCCACGTCTGGTCAGCAGATCTACCTGTGGAATAATCACTGAAGGCCCGTCAACCGTCAGATCAACCCGTTCTTTTATCACCATCTCTGCGTGACAGCAGCTTTCATGTCTGTTTTATTTCACTCGGATATAATCCCTGAGCCTAATCTCCTCTGGCACATGAGGGCTGTTGTGTCGCACAGCTTCTATCCCAGGCCGATATCATCGGGGTTTTATTGCCCCGTTTGCCTTCCTGCTCTCCAGCAGCAGAACACAGATTTGTATCGGTGTTCTCAGCGATAACTCACTGGGAACAATGAAGGCTTCCTTTGCTGTCAAAATAACTCAAACACTTCATGCGAATCCACTCAAAAACAAAATGCTGCATTTAGCAGCAAACTGTACGACAGCGCGTTAGTGCCTTTCAGAAGATTCAGCATCAGTCTGTTTGAATAATAATAAAAAAACTGTTAACTCCCTGCAGACTGTTGCTGCGTCTAAAGCTGGGCTTCCACATCGAAATAAAAGATTTTATTTGGTCACATAAAGAACAAAGCTTTACCCCTGTATGAACAGCTTGTTGTGCCTCACCTTACACTTACCAATGGATTCCCTGAAACACAAAATGCACACAAAACACAGAAACAAAAACAAGGAGGAAAAAAACACTGAATGAAACATCACTACTGAATATACAAAACAGCAGTGTCCTTCCTGTGTGTACCTGTTTATATACATAAAAATACAGATCATTATTACCATTCTTTAATAACAATATCATTACTGTTTTTATTACATGCAAAGAATTTCATGGATCACCACCAACATCACAACTAATATCAACTCCAACTCATAATTAATTTACTTTAAGCTTAAAATTATTTCATGATTTAACACCCAACAATAATACACATCTATGTTTGACTTGTTCTTACTTTACCTACTTCAAAAAAAAACAACCTTAGATAATAATTATTTTTCCCATAACTTAAAAACATCTTTGATTCAGGAAGATTGTTGTTTCCAGTGTTCTTAATTACACTAATCACCACAGCAGAAGACTAGGAGTAGGGTTAGGGCCACTGGGGGGAAAAAAACCAGAATGCTGATTTTAATTTCAGAATTCTGGTGTTTTTTTTTTTCTCAGAGTTAGGAAAACAAATCAGAATTCTGAGTTTAATCTCTCACTTTAAACTCAGAATTCTGATTTTAATTTCACAATTCTGACATTTTTCTCTGAATTAGGAAAAAAAGTCAGATTTTTTAAATATTTTCCCCCTAGTCTTCTTTCATACTTTATGAATAGTGGATTTGTGGAATCAAAAAGTAAAACAAAACAAAACAAAAAACTAAACTAAACAAAAATGAGCATTATATATTAATCTAATTGATTTTCTGTTTAGTTTAATCATCGGATCCATGTTTACGATACTCTGWACTTCTACACAATGGGACATAAACGGCACTACAAGTGAAAAATCAAGTATATGCAGACAATAATGGCAACAAATTATGATATTTCTTGTTTGATATTTTCTATATGTGACGTCCAAAAGAGTTTCTCATTAACGATTATTCCCAAGAATATTATTAGGTCCTCTTTCAATTTCAACTCTGCATAAATAAAATTTTATGTCTAACCCAAACTCCACAAAACACCACACATTTTGTTTTACCTTCATTTAAAGATATTTTTATTAAAATAAAACCATTTTTTTAAATAACACTAGTTCCCTTCCTACAGTAAACACAAATTCCTCCATATCTTCTGCTGAATAAAACAAAGAAGTAGCTGAAAATTTCATACTTTAAAAATGTCATTTAAATAAATTGTAAATTACTTTGGGCCTAAAACTGAACCCTGTGGAACACCGCAGATCCAAGATGATACAATTGGCTACATCGGTCATTTGAGGAAACGATAATACCGTTTTCTAGTTTTTATA